ATATGGGGACTTGATTGCGCTAGACTACTCTAAAACCCTTACCTTTTCACCTTATTTTGAAAACGTTTCGCATGCAATTTTTGTCAATTTTAATCCTAAACCACTAATAGGTGATGGGTGACAATGTGAGTGCACAAGCAATAAAATAACACTTAATAATCAAAGCGAAAAATTAATTGCAAAAAATTTAAGGAACCCGGATACGCTAAGTAAACAAAAGTGAAGCCTCATTATCGTCCAATGAAACAGGGATTCTGTAAATTTTGATGAGGAAGCAAACAACAACTATATGATATATGCATGTCCTAGATATGGCTTCTAAATGTAATTATGCAAGGACAACAAATTGATATCATGTAAATCTATCATGCATGTTAGAGTAATATTCCTTACTTTCTTTTCTTTTTACTTCATAGTGATGATGATAGATTAGTAATGCATGACCTAATCATAAAATTCGAAGACAAATAGTTCTTTTTGGTTTTTCTTGTTTATGAGACAGACATAACTCAATTTAAATGCTATAATTATATGCGTTCTAACCTAACATGCATTAATGAAATATTAGAAAATCCTAATGGCATGCATACTATGCTATAATAAATTAAATACAACCTAAATGCAATACTAATATGGCATGAATGCTATGACATGAGATAGAACTAACATGGATTAATCCTATTATTCAAAATATGTGAAAGGCTATCTTTTGATGTTTTTTCTTTATAAAAATGAGGAATTAAATCCTAAGACACTAAACATGACCTAATGACTTTAATTTATCAGAAAGATAATGATTTACTGATGCAATGCTAATACATTTTTTAGTATTTTTCTTTGATAATATGTAATCTATATGCAACATGAATAATGTATGAGCTGCAATTATTAACTAAAGCTATCTATGTGGAATCCTTAGTAAAATTTAGTCCTAAAAATATGCGACTCTTTAGATGACATGCAATATGCGACATAAACTTTACAATACTAATTAATCCTATAGCAAGATGAAATTTATATGAAGTCCTAACGACATTTTTTATTTGATTTTCCATTTATAGGAGAAGATGATGCAACTGTGTGCTGGGAGTTCATCAACGTGATTAAGGGCCGATCCCTCCACAAAGACAGATTCACAACTCCGCCATAAGAGGAGGTGTCCTTGTCTGCGTCGGGCTACGCCATAAAGCAAAAAAAAATGTTTATTGCAATAGCCTATTTTCTGGAAAAAAAAAAAAGTGACATAAGGCAACGAAATGTTTCTCAATTTTGTCGCATTTGAATTGCCTTCTGTCGCCTTAGGGTGGCCAAAGGAGACTAAAGGCAACAAATAATTTTGTTTAGGCTCCACCAAAAATCTTAAACTATACTTACTGTGACACTTTTATCATAATTTTTTTTTATGACACCAAAAATCCCAAACTTGTTCCTTTATGACACATTTACCCTCCATAAAAATTCAATCAATGAGAACTATTAATAATCTGTCCACATAGATACTAGAAAGTAAAGAGTATTGACATGGTGTCCATATGGCTTAAGTGAAATAAAAACATCGTTGTTTTGGCTAAAAAATCATCTAACGGAACATTGATGGAGGGTCAATATGTCACATATGTACAAGTTTAAAGTTTTTAATGTCATAAGAAAAATTTTAGAGTAAATATGTCACAGTGGGCATAGTTTGGGGTTTTTGATGTTACAAAAAAAGTTCAAGGTAAATGTGTCACAATAGGCATAGTTTGGAGTTTTTTATGGCATTTTTGCTTTTGTTTATTCTAAATACATGTGTGATATAAAGCTATCTAGGCGGGCATGAACTGTTACTTATTAAAGAGATGATATTGTTGCTTAGCGCGGACTTTCTCAAGCTCATATCAATTGCAACTTCAGGGTTTTAATTAAATCGTCTAACATGTAATTCTATTCATTTTGGAGTCACCATTAGTTTATTACAAGTCAATTATAAACCAAGTAAAATGTGGGAGAACATCTTACATCCGTGAAAAACTAGAGATTTCATGGATAGGTAGACTTGATTACCTTGATAAATTCTACGTCTTTTCGGTACCTTTTATCTTTATTTCGAAAATATTTTTGCAAATAGTCTTTATCAATTTTAATCATGCGCAACTAATATGCAATGGGTGATCATGTGAGTGCACAAACAAGAATTTAACACTCAATAATCAAAGCAATAAATAAATTGCTAGAAAAATGGCAAAAACCTCAATACATTAAGCAAAGCAAAAGTAAAGCACCATTATGTTCAATACAAGTGTTATGCAAAATGTTAACTAAAAACCAAACAATGTATGCATGACCTAAACATGATTTCTAAATGTAATGTCAATTACATTTTTTTGGGTTTTCTTTTATGATAAGCATGATTTCATTTAAATTTTATGACTACATGAATTCTAATTTAACATGCATTAATGAACTAGAAATCTAAGTGACATGTATGCTATTAAATTAATTTGAATGCAGCCTATATGCAATCCTAATAGCAAAAAAAAAGGAAATAAAATTTAATTGAGCGTCCAATCTTTAGTCCCATAGATCAAATCCCCAATAATCATGCATATATAAGAAGCGACTGTAATAAGAAGATTGACTATTCGATAATGTCTAACAAATCAAATCAAATTGAGTTAGAATCATATAATTTCAAATTAGGTAGTTAAATATTTTAATCGTAGTTTAGGAGACTACCTAAATTGATATCTCGACTTGAATGACAATCAGCGGCAAGGTTCACGGCAACGTCCAGGGTGGTGAGAACCCGGCAGGCGTAATGAGGGCGTTGCTGCGTTGAAAGGCCAACAGAATGCTTGTTGGCGCAAGTGGAGTGTCGAGACTCAAGGCGGTAGCGACGTGAACCGCTGAAATCGTCTGTAATGCACCCGTTGATCGCCGGAAAACCGTCAAAGAGTATGCTGGGTGCGGCAGCAGGACTGGTGCAGGAACTTGGGTATGCTGCAGGAGACACGACTGTGTTGTGAAGGACCAGTACTATTGGAAATCGCAGACACAGGCTGAGGATTGTCAGGCATCCGAGGCTGAGGCGGGAGCTCAATGGGATGCCGGTAGGGGTTAGAGCGGCGGAGCTCGGCCGTGTGGGAATGACCGTAGAAAAAGTAGAGGTTTTTCTCTTGCGTTTCTGTTTCTTTTTTATGTGAACTGTGCTTCTTTTCTCTATATTTGCCAAAAACCCCCTAATGTTGAGAAAACCTTAGGTTTATGTAAGCTTGGATTGACGCTTTCTCTCAAGATATGACTTTCGTATTTTAGCTCAAAGGGGTCGCATCTTAGGAAGTTAACATATTATCATCTAATTATCTCCATATAATGAAATTTCCAAAGAATAATAACTTTATTTCCCCCAATTTTGATCAGATATTGCAATCTTTCCAAATCAAGCACTCCATGTGCCCCTCCACATGCAAATTTCGGCCACTAAGGTCTTCGATGGGTTTTGCTGAATTTTATGTTCTCACGGGCTTAGACCAAGTAATTAAATTAAGCTCAAAAGCCTTTTGCTTTAAACCATTATCCGTAGTCAAATTAGAATACAATTTATGAAATGCTCCTATTATGCAAATCAATAATATTTTGTTTAGGGATTGAGATCGACTCCAAATTTTTTATGCAACGAATGACTATATGAGGTAGCCAAATTTTAGGTGTCAACACCGCTAAAATTAAAACATTCAGTGACATCCAGTTGGGCGCCACTATTTCAATTCACTACAGGTGTAATGCAGCATCCAATATTCGCAATGTAGAAGTTTAAGAGATGGTTTGGAGCATTAGTGGCATGACAGTCACGCGACTAAAAGGTGAGTTCCTTGTAATGTCTAAACACAACTTCAATCTATCTCTATTTCCGGGATTCAATCCAAACTCCGTTTTGGCCAAAATTTCAGCCACAAACTCGACTATTGGATGTAAATTACGCAGTTGTAAAGGAAATAAGATCGTGGATATTTATTTAGTGATTATGCATAGTATAACCCTTGACGAAATTGATCTTAAACTTAAGTCAAAATAACGATGGAATCGTCTCCATTTTCTTCTATCTTCACCATTCACACGAGTAATGATGGACAAACCGACAAAAAATTAGTTGTCACCGACTTCTTTAAATCTCATTGGCACGGATTCGAGAGAGTTTTTTTTGCTAAAACTCACGGATTCGAGAGAGTTAAAGTCAAAACAAATTGCACTTTGTCAGTCCTCCCCATGCCTTAAAATCCGCTGAAGATAAGGTCTCTAGTCCCGATAGATCTCACTCCCAACGTTTTTTTTTTTTTTTTGCTAAATCGAACCTTCCATTACATCAGAAAAGTACAAAATTACACAGAAGAGTTAGAGCCTACATCAACACGATAAATTAAGGAAGACTCCGCTAACACTAAGTATTTGACTCTAGATGGGACATCATTAAAAAAGAAAGACGAAGCATTTCCTAAATGATAAAAAACCCATTTTGCAAGCTCATGAGCAGCAACATTACTAGATCTATTGATCCACTTGAAACTCCATTCTGGGTTGTTGCTGAGAAGTAAGCGAGTATCCGAGACGAAATGATGAATACACCAAGGACAAATGCCCTTTTGTTGAATAGCATCAATTAACACCTTACAATCACTTTCAAAAACCGCCTTGTGGATGCCGAGGGATTGAGCAGCTTTGCATGCGAGAAGAAGAGCTGCAGCTTCCACTTCCACTGGCGAGTTCTATCTTCCTCGTCTTGTCCACGCTTGGACAACTGAGCCTCTATACGATCGTGCAATAATACCTATGGCGCCTCTGTTATCTTTCCACGCACCATCTACATTAAATTTCTAACTCTTGGTTGCTTCTTGACTCCTGCCACAGTTACAATTGACCTCATTCATAGAGATTCAAAAGGTTATGGTCCAAAAATATTCAAGCGCCTATAAAAGACCCACCAATCCAAACCATCAAATCCACCTACAAACCACTTTGCAACCATGGCTTATTCTAGTAATTTGCTTTTCCTTTCCTTTTTCGTCCTCACAATCTCACAAACTCAAGCCAAAACCTTTCAACCCAAGGCCCTTCTCCTTCCTGTGACTAAGGACTCCTCATTACTACAATACACCACCCAAATCAAGCAAAGAACCCCTCTTGTGCCCATTAAGCTGACCATTGATGTCGGAGGCAACTTCATGTGGGAGGAGTGCGAGAAGGGTTATGTCTCTTCTTCTTATAGGCCTGTCTCATGCGGTTCCAAAATCTGTAAGATCTCACGATCTGGGGCTTGTGTAGTTAAATGCCCCCCTCCGCATGTACCGGGATGCCACAACGACTCTTGCAGCCATCTCTCTTACAACCCGTTCACCCGCCTCTCCAACCTTGGTGAGTTGGCGACTGATGCCGTGTCGATTCAATCGACCGATGGGAGGAGCTCCGGGCCCATGGTTTTAGTTCCAGGGCTGCTCTTCTCTTGCACCCCAAGTACTCCTTCGCTTCTCAGAGGCCTCTTTAGTGGGGCTAAGGTATGACGCACTATATTTAATAGGCCATATGACAGTTTAAGTACTCGCCTAGATTCGGTCTAATTTGGACCATCTCAATCATATGTTGGATAGTGATGGGCCGCACCATCTCAATCGTGTGTGGACCACACATGATTCCCAAGGTTGTAATGATTGTTTGATAATTCGGTCCATACATAAAACGTGACGGCCGATCACATTTTATTCCAAAACCACATTTTATATATAGACACACACATCATTAATGTTTCATTAAATAAATGAAGTGCATTATATATTGTCTATTGATTAATATCATGGCTAAGGTATATGCTAACACGGACTTAACAATGTTTTGCTCAGGGGATTGCCGGGCTTGGAAGATCGCTAGTTTCCCTCCCTTCGCTGTTTGCTTCGGCTTTCAAATTCCAACGGATCTTTGCCATGTGCTTGAGCTCATCCTCGCAATCAGGTGGAGTCATCATCTTCGGCGACGTACCATATGAATTCCAACTCAAGAAAGAGGTCTCTAAGTCCCTCATGTACACTCCCCTAATACACAACCCAAAGAGCACAAGAAGATTTTACTCCAAGGATGACCCTTCGACGGACTACTTCATCTGTCTCACCTCCATCAAGATTAACAGCCGAGAGGTTCCACTAAACATGTCGCTATTGAACATCGACAAAGAAGGCAAGGGGGGTACGAAGATCAGCACCTTTGATCCGTACACCGTGATGGAGAGGTCAATCTTCACGGCAGTCCTCAAAGTATTCATGGAAAAAACTGAGGGCATGACTCGGGTTCCTAGTGTTAAGCCGTTCCAGTACTGCATAAGCTCCAAGAACCTCGGGAGTACAAGAGTCGGGCCGCCTGTGCCCACCATTGATCTGGGGTTGCATTATAAGAGTGTGTCTTGGAAGATCTATGGAGCGAATTCGATGGTGCAAGTGAAGGATGACGTCTTGTGCTTGGGGTTTGTCGACGGCGGCTTGAACCCGAGAACTTCTGTGGTTGTCGGAGGGCATCAATTGGAGGACAATCTCTTGCAATTCGATCTCGTGAAACGGAGGCTGGGGTTCACCTCCTCGCTCTTGTTCATGCAAACCAACTGTGCCAACTTCAACTTTACTTCTTCTGTTTAAAGAAGCGGATACTTTAAAATAATCCATCGTCGTGCTCGTTTTCCACCGTTTAACGTTATCCTTGTACTCGGTTTCTCATTCTGTTAATTTTAAAGTGGATTATCTTTGAGTATCCAAAAAAAAAGGTGGATTTGGTTCTGCATTGTGATTAAAAATGGCCCTTCCTTTAGATTAACGAGAAAGTTTTGTTATGATATAGCATATGCCGCATCAACGTGATATCCAAATTTAAATTGATTTCTCCAAAAAGTGCAACGTATCTCCAGCCTAGTGGGCGACCCTTAACACGTTTTGCGAACATTAATGCAATGTACTAGGAGAGAGAGACGCGAGCTCGCACCACGATTGTTGACGTGTCATTTTGTAGTTGTGCTGCAAGAAATTTGACTTTCAGTACCAATTAGTTACTGTTTTAGTAGTGATTTTAATCACCGCTAAAAGTGTAACGAACCCGGTTTGACGAAATTGAAGAATGAATGCGAAGACCAGAGGACCCACATAAGGAGCGGTTCCTAGCAGACTTTTAGGATGATGAAAGGGACAATAATGAATTAAATTGCACACCGAACAGGGGGAGAGTGATTCTGAGATATATGTGTGTGTGTGTGTGTGTGTGTGAAAACTTAAATTAACTCACATATGCGCCTTTTGACATAGTGGCAATGCTTAAGTTTGGAACTCCAAAGTTAAGCGTGCTCAAGTGAGAGCACTATCAGGATGGGTGACCTCTTGAGAAAGTATCCACATGTACACCAAAGGAAAAAACCCTGAGGTTCGGTATGGGATGGGTCGAAGCGGATAATACCTCGAGTGAGTTAAATCTAGGGCCTCATAATATGGTATCAAAGCGGGACCCCCTACAGTAGATGTGTGGTTCGAGAACGAAACATGCGGAAGCTAGTGGGCTTGTACCAACCCGGTCCGACGAGAGCAAGGAATGGGTGCCGAGGCCAAAGGGTCTAGAAAATGAGCAGCTCCTAACAGGCTTCAGCGAGGTTGGAATGAACAAAATTCATGCCGAATAAGCGGAAAACGATTCTGAGATAAATCTATGAAAACTGAAATTAGCTCGCGCATTTTGACGTAACGGTAATATAATTGTTAAATCTAAGGTGTCACAAAAAGATTATTACATTATCTCTACTACGGGCTGTATCACTTGAAGTTCTAGTACCGATAGTAGCAATTGTTGTTAATGTCCACCTTAAAAACCGCTAAATTATATGACAATAAAAATAATATATCTATTGTGACCTTTACAAATGCCGCTAAATAATAATAATAGTAATCTATGGAAGTGAAATCGGGAATTAAATTAATTATAAGACTATTGTATTTGTTTGAGAAGATGCCATGCCATCACTCGGACACGAACCGAGATGCTCTAGCAATGTAGTACCATTGTCATTATTTAGTATTGTTATTATTAGTAGTAGTAGTAGTCGTTGTAATAGTACTAGTACTAGTAGTTGTAGATACCAAAAGCAATGGGTAATCAAACATTTTTCACTAAAATATACTTTCATTGATTAAAAACCGACCCAATTTCAAGAAAAATTAAATGAAGAATTCTTCTAACAGTCTCAAAAAGACCACAAAAAGCCACATTTGCAGTTTCCTCGTCAAATGAGAAAGAAACATAATATTCGAGAAAAAAATAACTAGGTGAAATAAAATCAAAGAATAACTCTGCAATCTCGCCCATGGAGAGTCACCAGCTTGAATTCCCCAATATTTTCCAATAGTCTGAATCTAATGTAACCTAAAAAGCAAGAAAAATAGGTTGGCTTCTACACCAAGAAAATAATCAAATAAGTCACGATTTGTAGGTGAATACATAGAAGCAGCTTCCAACGGCTAGGAAAATCCGGTACATTATTGTCCAAAACCATATCAACATTCTCTGATCGTTCCTTTAATCTGAGATTCGATTCCGCAAGACCCGATAACCTTGCTCTGCTTCGAAAGTGCCATTGTGGAACAGACGAAGACTAAAATTTCTCGGCTAAGCAAGCATGCTAGAGCAAGTTGCACTTGGCTGCACTAAACGCAATAAGATTGAAAGCAAGTCCCTACACGTGGCTTATCAAAATAGGTTATGAACTCATTTCTTAACCCATATTTGATGGGTTTGATCACTATATGAATTAGTTATATTCAGTAAATTGGTCATAAATGGATTTAGCATTGTGAGACCTAAAATAAGTTATATTCACTCAAAACCTTAATCCAATAAGTTATAGGCCAATTAGGATATATTAACTGCTCAACACTACATCAATTATCCGATGTGGGACTTCTCTAACACAACTCACACGTGTATTTCAATAATTTTCCCCTCATATGTGAGCTCAGTGTTAGATTTACTCCCCATTAATTTAGGTATTCTTCTACATCAGCTTATCCCAACTTGAATCTCCAAGTCATTGCAATGCACCTGCAACTATACACAACAACCATCATCAACTGCTAACTTGGGATTGCATCACCCAAGGTCTCTATCGCGTCACCAAACCAACTGTCCATGGTCACTTCTCGCCAGACCAACCGTAATGGCAATTTCCACCCGAAACAAGCGTCGATCATGAGATTTCTTTCTTGAGATATTCACCAAACAACGGAACAGATTGGAGGCCCACCAATCAACCATCGGCTCTGATACCATTTGTTGGGCAATGCGCAGCAGAGGCCCGATACCTTCACCTAGGGAAATCGCCAAGAGGGAGCTCAAGTTCGAGCCCGTTAATATATCCAGTTGGACCCACCTTCACTCAAAAGCTTAAGCCAATGAGTTATACACCAACTAGGATATATTAACTGCTCAACACCACATCAATTATCCGATGTGGAGCTTCTCTAACACAACTCACACGTGTATCTTAACACCTAAATTAGGTTAAATATAGAAGTGTTTTAGTAATATGGATTGGATAAATGTCAGATTAGATATGGGTTGGCAAAGGTCGGGTCGAGTATGGATCACTAGATTTGTACCACATGGAAATGAGTTAAAACGGGTTAAATGCATCAATTTGGGTTAATTTAGTCATTCCGCCCAATTTTGGCCGGAATTTACTGACGTGGAGGTTTAATCAATGCCGAATGCCCACCGATCGCGCCACGTAGGGCGGTTGACGCTCACATGGATAATTTTTTACATTTTTTTATAATTTTTTTGAACGTTTTTCTTTTTCTTTTCTTTTTTTCCTTCTTCCTCTGGCCAGTTGCTGGGCCTTGGCGATGGCCAATGACCGGCCAAAGCCTCGACAAGGCTCGCCCTAGCTGGATCTAGTGAGTCTCCTCACAGTCGCTGGGCGAGGCTCAACCCTCGCCCCAAATTTGGCGAGGGTCAAGTCTCACTGGTGGAAGGGTGAGGTCACTCGAGCCCCTTATCGGATTTGGCGATGTTGACCTCACCCCTAGCCGATCATCGGCCATCGTCGAGGCCCGACAATAGGCCAGAGGAAGAAAGAAAGAAAGAAAAAATTCAAATAAATTTAGGAAAATTAAAAAAATGTAAAAAATTTATTAACGTCAGTGCTAACTGTGCCACATAGAACGGCTAGCGCTAACAATATCACCACATCAACAATTTCCAGTCAAAATTGGCTGGAAGAAGTAAATTGGTCAATCATCAAAAGGCTTACAACTAAATTGGCACAATTAAAAGATTTAAAACTAAATTGGTAATTTGTCAAAAAAATTTTACCAATTTAGAAAAATTGAAATGTTTAGGGTTAATACCACGAAAAACTTCAAACTGATACACCTATGACAAATTTACCCCAAATTGCAAAAAACCCAAACTGGTACAACTATGATAAATTTACCCTCAATCTGTTTCCGTTAAATTTTACCGTCAAATTGTTTTGTTAAATGACACACGGCAGTTGATAGATGTACTGGTTTTATGTTTTACCCTCCGTTTGTCACAAGTGTACTAGTTTATGATTTTTTATGGTATTAATCTAATTTAACGGAAACTAACAAAGGGTAAAACTGTCACAAATATACCAGTTTGGGGTTTTTAGTGATCAAAAAATTAGTTTAGGGTAAATTTATCGTAGGTGTATCAGTTTGGAGTTTTTGGTGATCAAAAAATTAGTTTGGAGTAAATTTGTCACAGATGTACTAGTTTGGAGTTTTTTTGTGATATTAACCCAAAGATTTATGATTGAATTGACCGCCATAAAATAATTTTAGGACTTTTTGGACAATTTTCCCCTCATTTGACTCATAAATATATATTAATATCTTAGTTCCTTCATGCTCCTTGAGTCCTTTTAGATTTCGGTTGTAATCGTAGTTATCATTTTAGTATTTGCCTCCAATTTGACATTTTATGTTTTTCTTTTCTCATGTAATTGGATTCCGCAACTCAACCACTCGATGACACCACCTAAGTATCTCAAACCGAACATCGGCAATGAGCTGAGAGATGAGGTAGATAGTCGAGGTTTCATATCACTGAAGAATTAACAATTAATCATTTGAAACGAGTGATCAAAATCTAAGAAAAAGCACGGATAATTGAAAATCGAGCAAGAAAAACTTACTAATTACAGGAAATCAGAAAAGGGCCGTCTGTCACGCCTCGAACCCCAATCGAGCGCACGACATCCTCTTCCTTGTCGATTCAATGCGATATCCCAGGGTATCGCCGATCTCACTTATAAATATCAGAGATTTAAATTAAACAGCGGAAACCTCAAAATACCTGGACAATTAAACTGGGGTAATCAGGGAGAATACACATTTTCATTTCCATTATCAAACTTATAAAATATTCACAATTTACATCCGCCATATACACATGCACACCATACTGTAACCATCGACATCAAAAAGGACCGATGACCTGGATGCCCTATCCTCAAAAATGGTACTTCTCAAAAAACCTATCTCCAACCCCTATGCTAGCCCCTACGCCCTTTACTCGGCGTCCACTCTGAAACAGACTCCTCATCATCCAAATCTGAATCCCCTTGGACGGTCTGCTC